TTGTCCTGAAGATGTCGTCCATGCTGTATGGAATAATTAAATGTTTATATCCCCACGTACATACATATATGGGGATTTCAATTGCGACTGGGGTAATTCAGGACATTTTTATTTTTGTAAAATTCAAATTGCTTAGCTTCCTGAAGTCCACGATCTGAAGCTGAAAGACAAGGAGACAGCTTTAAAGCAGGGGAACAGCAAGGGAAGAGACATGTTCTGTTTCACAAAGCTTGGCTGAAGCAAATATACCATTTCTGCTCCAGTTTGCAAATGTCTTTTTTTTCAAAGATTTAAATTTCAGTCTTAAAGCTTGTGTCTCCCAGGCAACATCGAGAAGATTAAAATGCAATCTGCTTTGATATGTACCTTTTACTAAAACGTCTTCAGAACTTGTGTCACCACCTCCATGAAAAATAAAAGTAAATAGCAAAGTAATACAAGTTTATTTTCTCTCCACTTCCCAGTCTGACTCAAAAGAAGAAAATAAACAAAAAAAAATCAAGAGTCACCCTTTTCATCTAAAACTCTTTGAATAACTTTGGGAAAACAATAACTGTTCTCTCACTCTCTTATCAGCCAAACTGATAGAGGCTACAGGCTGAGTTTTTACACTGCAGTTTCCCGGTGTTATACAGGACATCATTATCTTACCCCATTTATTTTTTATTTTTCAGATATTTGAATCTAGTGCAACTTGATACTGGTCTGTATGTATAGCAATATTACTCTTTTTTATCTTTTGATCTACAGATGTTTTCAGACTTCAGAGAATAAGAGTTTTAAAGTTTTAGGCCTTTACCCCTGCAAATTGTATAAAATCTTTATTTTAGTAACTTTATCATCAGAATAAAAAATCCTACTGACACATCAATAAAACTGAATAAAATTGTGATCTTATTAAACTGATGGCAATACTTCCACTGTCTTCAGGAGGTCCAGATTTCAGCTTTTATTTGTATAGTATCTGAGGAACCAGCCTCAGGGAGCACCAGAAAATGAGGGAAATCTATTCCATCTCTGCCAACCTATGTCATATCTGTCATCGACACACCAAAGAACATGTATGCACAGAGATCACTGCAGAAAAGTTGGATCCAAATCAAAACAAATAAATGGATAGAAAATGGGTGAATCATCGCAATTGAAATTTGTAGCTACCAAAGAAATGCAGAGATGTAAAGAGTCACTGCACTTAGAAAGAAAAGCCAAAACCTTTTCACCGTGTTCATTTTGGAAACATTCATCGCTGTGAGGGAACGTGGAATGGAAACCTCAACTCAGGATGCAAACAACAGGGCTTTACGGGACAGAGTCCTCGAGTGGCTTCTGACATCAGCCTGCAAAGGGCTTCTTGGCCAAGGCTCCCGCATAGCTGCCGTGGATTTCCAATGAGCGCGCTGGCATCTGGGGACTCCCCATTGCTGCCTGGTGTGGCACACGTGCTCCGGGTCATATGAGTACTGTGGGGCTATTTGAGCCCAGGGTAATGTTACTTTCATCACCTTTTTTTTTTCAAATGACAGCCGCTACTTCCATAGCTCATCTCAAGTGTTCATATTTTCGATCTCCAAATCTGAAGAGCAATCATTGTCTGCAGCTGGTAAAAGATCAGGCCTAAAGGGCAGCACTGCCACCCTGCTGCCTCTTGCCTAACTCCTAGGTTAAGTTTTCTTGATTTTAAAGGCCCAGTAATTTCATCTGCAAACAGCTCAGTGCACCCTTGTGCACACTCAAGTCAATCTGTGTTTATTCCGTGCGTGTTTTGATGAACAAAAATGAGTTACTCAGTTCAAGGCTGAATGTAGGCTTATGTGGAGAGTTGGTCTTCTTTGACATAGATTTGTGCTATAGAACTGGATTCATATGCAATGATTTAAGGGGATAATTATTGTGCTATTTCTTTCACACTTGTGAGTCTTCATAAAAATATCCTTGTCAGGCCAGATGGAGCAATGATATGGATAAGTATGTTTATAAAAATATTATCAAACATATCTGTTTAATCTATCATACAGCTACTCATATCGTAGCAGCTCTGGTGCTAAATATTCCTTTGCAGTATTCTCCATGACAGCATTTACAATTAGGTTTCTCACTGACAGGTTGCTTAAAGACCATGTTGAAGTTCATTCTTACTGTGTGTTTAGTCTGAGGGTGCTAATATCCTGATTATTTCATTTCTGTTTATTCTTTTTTCCACTGTTGATGTTGTTTGTTTTCTAGGGAAGCGTTACAGGTTGCCTATAGGCCTGCTTTGTACCTCTTTGATCTTAATTAATGAAATCACAGATAGTTTTATAAAAACAGCCACATTAGGCAGTGGCAGTTTCTAGGTACTTGTCCTCAGAATCCCCTCCTGCAGTTTTACAAGCCAGTTGTCATCGCGCAGGTCAGAAATGCTTTCTATTCCTCTGTTAAGTACTTTATAGTATCATTTACTAACTACTATGTTTATTTATAGAGGATAATGCCAAGTTTCCGTCTGATAGCTTGGAGCTATGGATCACTCAAAAATCTTATCTCGTTCCAAAAATAACATAGCTAATGACTTGCATTTGTTGGTTGGTGTTGGTATATGGCATATATTGCTACATTTACAGGAAATAGCTTGTAATAATAATGAAAAAGTGTGCCTGTTGCTAAGTTTTACAATAATTTCCACTGAAAACTGATTGAATGTTAATAATTGAGCCATTAAGAAATATTTCTTGATGGAATTTGGAATGCAGGTATTTAAAAATTAGTTTGCACACTTTTAATGTGAGTAAGTTTCTTCCTTACTAAATTATTTTAAGAGTGTGCTTTTTTTAATACTGGTATGAAAAATATTTCTCTAACAAAATTGTACCAGTAGGAGCATGTCTAGGATATTATGAATGGCTGTGGGCAGTTCAGCAATGGGAATATTTTTAGAAGCCTCCGGTGGCTGAAGAACAACATGAATGGCTACGGGAAGACTCACTAGCCCCATCAGTTGTTGTTTAACAACATTCATGCTTTGAGCTTGACTAAGCGAAGTCTGGAACAGCTAGATCTATAAATACTTACGGGGGAGAAGACCACTAGACTGGAGGCCTGGAGTTGCTCCCAGAGGCATGAAAGCACATACTCTGCTGGGCTGGGACTCTGTGAAGTCACCTTTTTGGTATCTGCTGTCACATCTGTGCCTTCTCTGTGCTGCCAGTGGGAGTTCCTCATGATCCACCTGTGGCTACAGGCTTGTGCTAGATTGTGCCCAGTTGAAAAAAAAAAAAGAAAAAAAAAAAAAGAAAGAATTGCTTGGTTCACCAAAACCAACAAACCACCGCAGTAGTTGGCTTTTTGTGCTTGGTTCCTGCTTTCTCCAAATAATACTGTGAATTAAGATGGTAAGCAGTTTCAAACAATAAAAGGAATTGACTTCTCTAATAATACAGCAATTTTCAGCCTGGTATTTTTCACTTAGGCATTACAGTGCAAAGTAAGAAATGGGAGTTTTAGTGCCAAAATAAAACTGCAACAGTTTCTTTCTAAATCCATCTTTTCCCACTCTCCACCTGCCTGCATGTTGTCTTCTTTCCCAACTCTTTCACTGAAGGTCGATAGCAATAAAGCATTTAAGTACACACATACTGGCAGTATTGATCAGTGAGCTGCCATCACATTTTCCAAGACTGCTTTCCAAGAGTTTACCTGATAAAGCCTGACAAACAGCAGGAATGAACCCATAGGGTTTCAAACCTGAGTAGCCTTCTCTATCCTAAAAGCATGATGATATTTAAGGGTATGGAAGTGCTAGAATGATGAGTCCAGAGGAGGGCCATGAGGATGCTCAGGGGGCTGGAGCCCCTCTCCTGCGCAGACAGGCTGAGGGAGCTGGGGGTGTTCAGCCTGGAGAAGAGAAGGCCCCGGGCAGAGCTTACAGCGGCCTGCCAGTGCCTAAAGGGGGCTGCAGGACAGCTGGGGAGGGACTCTGTGTCAGGGGGTGTAGGGGTAGGGCAAGGGGGAACGGCTTTAAACTAAAAGAAAGTAGATCTAGGTTAGATATGAGGAAGAAATTCTTCTCTCAGAGGGTGGTGAGGCCCTGGCACAGGCTGCCCAGAGAAGCTGTGGATGCCCCATCCCTGGAGGTGCTCCAGGCCAGGCTGGATGGGGCTTTGGGCAGCCTGGGCTGGGAGGAGGTGTCCCTGCCCATGGCAGGGGGGTGGAATTAAATGATCTTTAAGGTCCCTTCCCACCCAAACCATTCTGTGACCCTATGTAAAGCCTGTCAGCAGCCGAGGCCACCCTGACCCCTATGTAGCTTGGGGCCTCTCAGGCTGTGCCCCCCTGCCTCCGCTCACCCCACACCGCAAGCCAACCACAGGGCTGCGGGTAAAAAAAAAAAAAACACTCAAACATCAGGCTTTTCTCCCTAAACAGCGCCGACGCGTTCACCAGTTCTATTTTCCGCCAGGAAAAGCCAACCTCTCCTTGTCCCATCCATTCCCCTCCTTCACCCCCCCAACCCCAACCCCAACCCCAACACCCGCGGGTGCCGAGGCGGGTCTCGAACCCGCCACCCCTGGGCTCTGAGCCCGCCCTGCCCCTCCCGTCCCCTCCCCTCTCCCCCTCTCCTCGTGACCGGCGCCGCGGCGGTCACGTGACGCGGGGCGGTTGGGCGGGATGGCGCCGTGACGGGGCCGCGGCCGCCGGTGAGGAGGAGGAGGGCGGCCGGGGGGGGGAAGGAAGAACCGGGGGGGTGCCGAGGTTTTGGGGCTCCCCCGGGGTTCCTCCCGCGGTCTGTGGCACCGGGGAGGGCTGAGGGGGAGGCCTCGGGCCCGGCTGCCTCACCGGGAGGGGATTTTGGGGGGTTGGAGGGCGAGAGGCCGGCGGCAGGGGGGGTGTTTTGGGGGTAGGGCTGAGGGGAAGATGGCGGCTGGGGGCTGGGCGCTGGCTCCGGGCGCAGGCCGCGGGCACTGCCTTAGCCCCGCCGCCGCTCTGGGAAGCTGCAGTGCAAATCCCGTCTTGGCATCGCGGGGTGTGTGTGTCAGAGCCGAGAGGGGTCGCTTGGAGGCTTTGTGGCGCGCGTCAGGGCGTGCTGCCTGGGAGGTTTGGGGTCTGAGGGCCCTTTGCCTCCTCCTGTCCACTTCTCTAAACGATACAGAAATTAAACCCTGTTAATCATGGCTAGAAATGCGACATCTGTTCAAAATGACATATCAAACCTATTTCAGGTGTTGGAGTAGCTGCAGTTCAAACCTAGGGGCTTCAGCGGAAAAGCTTCCAGGGGTGCGATGTGCCAAGAGCAGCGCGTAGATGTAGATGAGTGGCATCTATTCGCCTAGCAGAACGCCCCGGCAGTGTTGGTGTTACATAAAACACTGTCTGAGGGCTCGTGGAAGCCCTTATAGCACTTCAAAATCGTGTTGCAGGCATGCGTATGGGAAGGCGTCAAGAGAAATTCAGTGGGACGCCGCTCAGCTCTTCAACCTAGAATGACAGAAGGGGTGTTCTGAGGTATTTGTGGTATTAAACCCTTAAAAGCGGGAAGTCTCACTTTTTGTGCAAGGTGAAAGGGGGTCAAAGCATCACTGGTCTCATAAGATTTCATTTATTTATTTATTTGAGATGCTGATGCTTCAGTCAATCGGTATGAAAATAATAACTTAATGACCTTGAGGTTTTGTAAGAACCTATGTGGCTTGCCCAATGCTGTATATAAAGCTAGGATTCCAGAACCTCTTCCCTGAGCTTCTAAACTTTGGTTCAGCTTGGCCTGCAGAGAGATTTTTCTATAAGCTTTGCTTCTTATTTTCTTGGCTTAATGGGTTTTCCCCTTTTTCTTATTTTTATTTTTCTTTTAATCGTATAGCAACACTTCATGCTTACATTGGTGAGAATATACTTATAATGACATCTCAGAAATTGTTTTATTTTTTGATAGCTTTACCAGACCCAGCAGAATTAGCAGCACGGTTCCTGCTTGCTCAGGATCGCTGTGGTGTAGTATGGAATGAAAGTTAGCTCATGAACTGTGTGCTGTAGTGCTGAATATTTTTAAGTTGATGTATTTCTGTGTTGTTGACAATGCCATTTATGAATTTGGACATCCATTTATGAATGTTTCTGCCCTTTTATGAGTGTATGTCGAATAATTGGAATAGCAAGAATAGCCAGCAGTAATTAGGCAAAACCATCCTATGACAAATTCCACTCAGCAGTATGTTACAAAACAGTGCGTGTCACAGAGGTCCAGGGTGTAAACAAAAGCTCATTTGCCCACTCCGATTGCTTCTTCTAGGCTCTTTCGTCGGGTTTGTTATCAAAAAAAAACATAAAAGCAGGGATGTGTGGGGAAAAAATGACTGGAATACTGCAGTTAATGCTCACTGGGAGTGAGGAGGGTGAGATGATGGCTGGTAGGCGCTCTTTGTTGGGGTTATCCTCCCAGCTTTTGCCTTAGATACACTGCTTCAGTTAAAGTTTTCAGTTGTAATAATTAGTTAAGTAGAGAAAAGAAAGGAAGTCAATCACAGGGTTGTTAGAAGAGGATTTGAAATGTTGAATGCCCCTTTGGGGTTTTCTTGGGGTAGGAGGTAACCAGAGGCTAAACAAAATTTGTTTCTGCCAGCTTGTTTTAAAAAACTCACAAGAGGGTTGTAACTTGTGGGCTTTTGTTGTTGTGTTTGTTTTCCCATGTAACTTAGTTTTCAACACAGAACGCGTCAGACTTTCAGTTTAAGTCAGGACTACATCCTTACGAGGGCAGCACTTAGTACAGTGAGATTCTAGTATGGATTGCTCTGGAATTTGGGGGCGATCAGGTCATTTTACAGGTGCAGTTTAAGATACCACCAAAACCACAGCACTGAGGAGTCCTCTTGGGGCAAGGTGCAGCTAATTCGTGGGCAGCATCCAGGTAATTGCTTGTTATCCATGTAGTTCTGTTGGTAAGGCCAAAATGAGACCACTGCTAAGGTTTTGCAGGCTGCTGAGATGCCAATGCTTGACAGCTTACACATACCTCTTGACCTAAAGAGAGAATAAGTTTACTACAGCAGTGGATCTCACAGAAGACTACATTCCATTATTTCCAGTTCAAGGGAATAAAATAATAGTTTAGTTTTAAAAAAATAATTGTCAGCATACTTAAATGATCCGAACCCTTGGTATTTCCTGCTTTTTTTTTTTTTTTTTTTTTTTTCTCTGGTGCTGTTTAAGTGTAATGGCTTTCATTTTGCAGTGGGCCAATATGTATTTTTGCCTGGCTAGTGGCTGTTTCTGTTTTTCTTACTGTTCTCTTGCACTTCTTCTTTTTCTGCTTCTTGTTCCTTGTTCCCTGTAGTTCTGAGTGCAAACTCCATCTTCCTGACATAGAACAAGCATCCAAACAAATGTTTAAAACTTTTCTGTGAAGCTTTTTTCCCCATATATGTATTTGAAAATCTTTCTGGGACCATAGAAAAGCCATGATGCTGAAACTAGTCAGTGTGTCTGGCTGGAGTAGTGCCCGGTTGTTAGTCTTTCATGTGTCTGACAGTGTCGGTACTCCTCCCCGCTGACCATTTCAAACAGTGCTGCACTGAGTGGGTGTCTGGGAAGGGGATGATCCCACTTCCCCTGGTTGTTGAAGTGGGACAGAGCTTCTTGGAAACCAACCAGGCAGAGAAAAATGGTGGGGGGAACAGGGAAAAGGTGTTCTGCAGCTTTGTGATTCCCAGAAGTGACAGCTGCCCCACCTTTACTTTTTCACTTTGAGCAGTAGAAAAAGATGTTGGTTACTGAGTTTGAACAACTCATTTTTTCCCCCTCTGGTGTTAAGGAATCATATAGTTCTCTAGTTCACTTTTTTTTTTTTTTTTTAGCATGACTAAATTTTTGCTGCAAGTCTCTCAGGTGTTCACAGCCAGTTATGTTTATGGTAGACTCATCAATATTTAGTCTGCACAGTCAGTCCTTGAAAACTGACTGTAAAAGATTGCTTTCAGTAATTAAAGTTTTCCAATTATTCTTTGCAATGGATCCATTAAAGATTTTTTTTTCCTTGTGAGAGATGTTTAGATTCCTTTTTTCCAATCTGTAGTGCAGAGAATGAGACTCATGGTGAACAAGCAACTGTTTCCTTATCTGGTGTAATTTCTGGAAACTTTATACGTTTTTTGGAAGGTCTATTTGTGTTTTAGTGGAAAGCATGAGAACACCATGTTCCGTCTGTTTCACTGAAGAGGAGCCTTGGACTTCTGTGCTGCGGTTCTTCTGCCTCGTGCAGGGATACTCGCTGCTGCCACCTGAACTTCTGCCTTTTATTTAGTCAACATCCATTCCAAAGCCTCTTCTAGTCTTAGTGTAATCGTGTCCAAGCAGGAGCCAATCTAAAGCTTAGGCACTTGAATGTGTGTGTGTGAGCTGCAGGGCTGTCTCCATGTGTGGGTGAAGTTTACAGTAAACTTGGCCGGGTCTTTTATAGGGCCAGGGTTCAGCGAGGCATAGGAAAACGTAACGTTTGGCATGTGTTAAGGAAGATAATGCACCTAAGTCCTCAGAATAAGAGGAAGTTAAATTTTGTTTCACTCCAAAATGTTGATAGTAGACCTCCAGTGGAGGCCCATAACACAGTTAAATGTTTCCCTAAACAAGCCCTGTAACATAAACTGTGTTTAGTGCTGGTTCTCTGGAATAATGCTAGCATTAGTGTAATTTTATTGGAAGTCTGCAATGACAACAGAGGTACCGAGACTAGAATGGAGCCCCCCTTCATGTTGAAATGCTTAGCTGCTGGGAGAGCCCTCTTAGTTTATTCATTTAAGCAAAGTTTGCCTAAAACACATTTAAATGATGTACTAATTGACTTCAAAATACTGTTCTAATCTGAAAAGTGATTGGAAAGGCTCTAGTGTCAGAGTTGAAATATGTTTCTCTTGCATTTTCTCTCAGAAAGCAGTCTGTTACACAGATCTTGGAGGTTGTACAGAGCTTTGTAAACGTGATTTGGGTCTTGTGTTATTGGATTTATTTTCAGTTAGGTTGCTTATAATCTTCTGTGGAGTTGCAGATGTTAATGTTGCAAACTCAGCCTTTCACTTGCAGGATGGGCAGTTTAAAAATACTCTGCAACTGTGCAAATGTGATTTGGGAGATAGGAAAAAGTGAATTTGGAACCATGTGATACTCTCGGTAGAATCTCTTCCAGTGGCTAGGACAGCACTTCAATTACATGGAATAGGATGATTTTTCTTCAGGCAAAGCTTTCAATCCTAAACTAATGGCAGATATTTTTTCTTCCATCCCACTTCCTTTCTGCTACTAGCATCTTGCCCCTGTCTTCAGAAGCAGAAAGCATCACGATAAGAGACAAAAATGACCGAGTTTTGGCTGATTTCTGCTCCTGGGGAAAAAACTTGTCAACAGACATGGGAGAAACTACACGCAGCGACCACAAAAAATAACAATCTTTCTACTAATTCAAAGTTCAATATTCCAGACCTGAAGGTACGTAAGCCCCCTGTCATGTCCTAAGAAGTGTTTGTTTGGCATCATGTTTGTTTCTTTAGACTAAAACTGCAAGTGATGAATACTTGCAGACTTTTTAGAGAAAGCAGCTGATGTATTTTGTTGAGTATTTGTGGATCAAAACATTAATTTAAACAATCAGTTATCTTTTCTCTGGAATTATAAAAATTTCTCATACTGTAAGGTTTAAAGGTTCATCAAATTGCGTTCTTTCAGCAAATAAAGCAGTTTTTTCCCACAGGAAGCAATTGGGGTCTCATACTGCTAGCAGTAAGCAGGAGAAGAAAGAAAATCAGCTTTGGAAATTAAGGTGCAAATGGAGATTTGTGATCTGAGTATTCAGATGACACGGTTTTCTTTTTTTTTTTTTTTGTACCCTTCTGATGTGTCTGCTGCTGCTTTGCTGGCTGAGATGCAATGAAATGGCTTGATTTAAAATAGGGCAGATGACCAAACAGCTCCTGCTTTTTCTGTGTCCAGAAGTAGCAGTTGTCTCCAACTGAGAGCATTTCGGTGTGACCAGCCAGTGTGTGTTATAGAAAATAGGAAGGAAACCATTTGAACTATTACAGCGAGAAGGGAAGAGAAACAAAATCTGAAAGCAGTTTCTCTTGGTTAACTGCAACTATCAGGCTATGGAAGAGGTAGAAGAGAGTGTTTCATCAAGATAAGGTCTGACACCAGCATGTGTCTTGAAGAAAAAAAAAGTGAGCTCAGTTTAATGCTTTATAAGTGAGAGATTATCAAAATGAAGGGGAAAAAATGCCACCCCTATCTGTCTACAGAATGGTTCAAGTTCAGGTGGCACGCTGCCTCATTCTGCCTCCACTAGGGAACAGACCCAGAGCACACGCTGTCTGAGAGCATCTTCCATCTGCCATAAGTTACCATTCATCTTCAGACCATCCTGAGTTATGTCAGGAGATGTAGCCCCTCTTCTTACATCTACTAATCCAATCGGTGTCAGTCTCTTCCCAGGAGCTCCGTGGATGTGAGTTAGGATGACCTTCAACCTTTAGGGTGCCTAAAGTATTTAGAAAAGTTATTGCAGAAAACTCAAGTGGCCCACTAGAGTTATTAACGATTGGTTTTGGTTTTACTCTTTTTATTTCCTGTGAACTAAAATTATTCCTAAAGGGGGCAGAGGTTGAGCATACCTTAAATTTATATACCATGGGGAATAGTTTGGCTTCTGTGTATGTAGTTAAACTCTTTTAGGGGTGTTTTCTTTTTCTAGGTTTGTATGCAATTGCTAATGCATTTTGATTTTTCCTTCTAGGTTGGGACGCTGGATGTTTTAGTTGGTCTGTCAGATGAGCTGGCTAAACTGGATGCATTTGTGGAGAGGTAACAGTTTATTTTTACTAGCATGTATAATATTTGAACACTGATATGATGCTTTGCCAATCCTTAATGATTCATGGGCTATTTTCAAACTTTTTAGGTTTCATAGTGATCCTTTGTATGCAGTCAACAAGCTAATTTCAGTAGGCTAAGCTGATGCTTTTCCTAGTATCTGTGCTTGGGGGAGATGCTTCTCATGGAATAGTGGGACATGGATGTAGGTTCTCCCTTCATCATTTCCCCAAGTTCTCCCTGTAGTAGTGCTGTGTGGCGCCAGATTCTGGAGAGCTGGTCAGAATTGAGCATGGCAGCTGCAGGAAGTGGTAGTGAGATGGAGTAAAATGCATTTTAGCAAGTTAGAGTACTGTTTACAGGCTTCAGGAAGGTAACATGTTTCTTAACCCACTGAGATGATTATACAGCCTCAGAATTTAAATACAAAGGACGTTTATCTTGAAGAAACTAATGGTCCTTTGAAAGTGATTTTTGAGCTAATATAACATAGCCAGAACTTGTAGAGCTATCTTCTGTTTCAAGGAGAGAAGTATTAAGTAGTTGTTTTTTAGCAGAATAGGAAAATGTTAGGCATGGCACATGTGAGTAATGTTAAACATTAGCTTTTTTGGTGGAGAAGGCAGGTCTTATGCCTCAGATCTCATGAGGGCTTTGGGCTGGGATTTCTCTATAGCTCTTTGGTTTTCTTTCATTTTTCATTGTCACAGTTGCCTTGTGTTTAATTTTTATTATTGATGATTTCTACCTCACTACATATTTTGAGAATGGGGTTAGGATTTTGAAACAACCACAGATCTGAAAGAAGAAAAGGAGGGGGGAAAAAAGTTTGGAGTATAGTGGGATTACATTTGGAAGTGTCAACCTTTGTTCCCTGGAGGCAAGGGAAGTATCTTCATCCTGTTGAGAACCGATGAGAGCAGTGCTTGAGAATGATTTAAATAAATTGAGATGTGTTTGAATTGGTCTCTTTCAGATAGCAAGCCCAGTTGGTACTCTTGAAAAGCTTATGTGTAAAGCGTTCAACATTTTATACCTGATCCAATCTCTTAATTTCCAGACAATTTCAGATGAGTTTTAGGAATAGTGTTTCTCAAAATGGCAATTTTTTTTCTTTTTTTTATTAGCTTTATCTTTCATTTTTCAGCGTTGTGAAGAAGGTGGCCCAGTATATGGCTGATGTTCTGGAAGACAGTAAAGATAAAGTTCAGGAAAATCTTCTGGCTAATGGAGGTAAAGTGTTAACCATAATATGCACGTCCTAAGAGCGGTAGGAGGGAAGGCGGTGATCCAGACACACACTTAATGCTGCTTCTGTTTGATGTTCTGAAAGCCTAGTTTAGGTATGGAAATATGTTTTCCCATGGGTTATTTATCCTGAAAGGAATGATAGAATCCAAAATAGCGAGAAATTACAGATCTGCATATTAAATACTCACTTGTAGAAGCCTTTTGATCCTTTAAGGCTATTGTCAGAAGTTTTGGGTGGAGCATAAAAATGGCTGTTACTGGTCATTGAAAACATTTTTTTTTTTTTTTTTTTTTTTTACTGGTCTGTCATCTGAATACAAATGATTTTTTGTAAGGCGTGTTGGAGAGAGGTTAGTATGAATGGAAACATGAAAACAAATGCAGCAGTCCTAATTAACGCAAATATTTTAAGAGAGGGACTCGGGATAGCCTCTCCTATCGTTATACAAAACTGCTGCTTCAGGTGAGCCATGTAACAGTCGTAACCCTGCCTTCTCCCAGATATTTTTCATATGAAGCGAAATAATGGCTGACTTTGTCTGTGCTTCTCCAGCCATCATAGTTACTAGTAAATACCATTTTGGGGTCTACAGAGATGGAGAAATACCAATATCTGAATGCAGAGGTCACAGAAAACTTAAGATTTTGGTAGTTTGTTTTCAGATTTCTTAAGCAACAGGGTACATACATGTGAAGGTCTACAACAGGCTGTTACAGTACTTCTAAATCAAGTACATTAGTCCTCTTACTGTCTATCTTAACAAAGTCCCTCTTCAAAATTTTAGTTGACTTGGTCACCTATATCACAAGGTTCCAGTGGGATATGGCCAAATATCCGATCAAGCAATCCTTGAAGAATATTTCAGAAATTATTGCAAAGGTAAGGTCGTTTGTTTTATAAAACATTTTTGCTTGAGTTATTTTACGCACGTTGTGAAATACTCAAAGCTTTTTTTCCTGCCAGGATGCTTGTGCTTTTAACAACTTCTTCCTGGTGCAGACAGGTGTGCTTGTGTGTTACCATAAACAAGGTCACTGTATAACAAAGTGTTGCAGCTGTTAAGAAAGATTTATTTTGTAAAAATAAAATCTGGATACCGAAGCTGAAGTGCTGTTTGTAGTATCCTGAAGTGGTGTATGCCAGCAGAATGTTTTGTCAACAGCCAGGGCACAATTAAAAGGAGAGTTTCTTAACTACATGCTCAGATACGTGCCCCTGGCAATTCTCACGGACTTGTACCTACTTACTGTGGTGGAGGAGAGAGTAGGCAGTGGTATAATGCCAGAGCAATGCTGCACCAAGTTCTTACAGCTACCCAACTGTTAGCTAAATACATTGATATTTTAAAAATAATTTATTGTATAGACTGATAGAAGTATGAGTGGATATTTGAGAACTATTTATTACTTTGTTTGTGTTTTCCAACTTGCTGCCAAACAGCCTAACTGGGAATTAACTATTTTTGCAATTATTCCAATTAATCCTGGAGGATGTGTTTGAGAAAGGTGGCTTACTTGAGGAGGAATGGCAAGCCAAATATAAGTCAGTCTGAACAGTGAAATAGTTAAAATTTTAATATAAGAGTTTTGAAGATGATCAAAGGGTACCAGAGTCATTAAATGGAGAATGCTATTAATACCTAAATGGACAAATGCGTTTTTTGTCTGAAATACTGTTTGTGTCTACCCTGAAGCTGGCCCTGTGCAATTCCAGACATTCTTAAGTATATAAACTGTTAATGACTGTAGAAAATATCTGTAAAATAGATTTTCCTGTATATGTGTAAACCATTGCCAATATAAAACAGCATCAGGTGACTTGATGAAAGCAAATGGTAGTAGAATTTGTATTTTTCTTTGAAAGTGTACAAAATCGGAAAGAACTTCAGGAAAAAAAGTGGTAATACTTAGAATTGTAAAGAGCAGCCATGTGGAATCAGATAGGTAATGCATTTAGTTGATACCCTTATCTTTCAGAGTGAGCAAGGCTATTCATCTCAAGGAAAAGTGCAAGAAAAAACATGTAATAAGCAAATACAGTGCAGCAGAGTCTCATCTTAAGTTGTAGATTATGAAAAGCATTATTGGTTTGCATTACTTCATGCTTGATTTGCTGCTCATAAGACTATACCATCATTTTTGCCACTGAAAGTCTTGAGAGGAAAGTGTGAAAACCAGCTGAAGGACAGGTTAGCCAGTGTTAACCAGTAAATTTGTATCACAGTGAAGGTAAACTTCAATAATCTTTTCTGTCAGCTGAGCTGGAGGGTGGTGACCTCAAGCTGGTGGAGTTGATCAGCTGGGTGCAGTAGCATGTCCGGTTGATACCAGAAGAGGATGTGTAATTCTTACTATTGGTTCATTTTCCTTTATAGGAATTCTAACCTAAAATTTTGAGTCTTGAGGGAATCTTGTTAAGCCCTAGAGAAATAAGCATTTTAGCTTTTGTATTTTTCATCAAGTTCTTGATAGCAGATGAAAGATCTAAGCTTTGAAATTAAGAAATCATTTAAAAACTCAGTTCTTTAGATGCTTTTTTGATCTTCAAGGGAGTAAACCAGATTGACAATGATCTTAAAGCAAGAGCCTCGGCATACAATAATCTAAAAGGGAATCTTCAGAATTTGGAAAGAAAGAATGCGTAAGTCACATTTAATTTTTTTGTTAATGCAATGCAGGAAAACTTTCTAACTGTGAGAACTTAGTCATGTTTGAAGAGGTACTGGCTCTAAGCTTGATGTGTTTTTGAGGCATTTCAATCTTGAGTAGCATATGTGATAGAAGGATGCTTATTACCAGTGACTTCCTGGTAATCACTCACTTGTGATTGGCAAGTGATAGTGAAATACACAAAAGCATGTACAGACTGTATAAATTGCTGAAGCCCTCGAGAGAAGCTTGCTGTTAAAATGGCATGTAACACTGCTACTTACACGTCTGGCTAAACAGTGAAGTTTTCCCCTTCACTCCAATTTGTGCTCTAAGCATATCTGTATTAATTGGGTTTCTTCCCTCAAAAGCAACCAGCAGAGAGACAGCTGTTGCATACATGCAAGTGATGATAAATTAAAAGAGGACCGCATGCTGCCTTGTCATGTACACATGATGAGTAGTTCAGATACAGTAGTTCTGTCCAAATATGGTTGATTAATTTGACTCAGCCCTGCCATTATCATTAATGGTAAAAGCTTGGTGGCTCATTCAGGTCTGTGGGTCAGACTAATGATAGCTGTTTCATGAGGGAGCCATAAGTTCCTTGTTAAGCCATGGTAATCTGTCCGCTAAGCCCCATTAAATCTGTGTAGGTTCTTGTTCTTTTGAGAATAAGACAACGTGCTGCTGCTTTAAATTTTCATTGGGGTTCTATATGTAGGTCTGCAGTAGCTTGGTTGTAACTGAGGTTCCATATACTGGCCTTCAGAGTGAATTAATGGTTCTTGTGGTCTTGGATCACTTTTAAAAAGAGTTCAGAGTTTTTGGAATATGGAAATGACACTCAGCACTGAGTGGGCTACTGATTAAAAAGTAGTAAGCTATTGATAAAAACTTTTGTATATATAACATTCATGTAAGGACACTTTGTTTGCTCTGCCATATTGAATGCTTAAATGAAATATGTTACACTTTCAAGCAATAGAAACTGTTGTCTATACCAGCTCAGTTCTTAAAGGTGTTTGCTCTGATTGTCTTTGTTTCTCTACAGAGGAAGCTTGCTAACCAGAAGCCTTGCTGATATTGTAAAGAAAGAGGACTTCGTACTTGATTCAGAATACTTGGTCACATTATTAGTGATTGTACCAAAGTAAGTTTATTGCTTGTCTGAAGAGCAGGATAAAATAAATGTAAATCAAGCAATAGACCCCACAATTCTATAGTACTGTAAGAAAGGATGCCTGAATTGCTTTGAGTTTTCATGGATATACGAACAAAAACATTTGGACACCTACTGCAAATGAACCTGTGTGCCTATATTCCATTGTTTGTAGGAGCTCACCATAAGAAATGCTGAGTGCTCATGAATTTCTTTGAGAAACTGGGAATATAGACTTAGGTCTTTTATCTAGTCTTAGCCATGGCGATTCATGCTGCAGAAAGTATCCTTATGAAAATAATAAGTACTGAGTGAAAACATGAGCTGTTTTCCGTTAGAATGTTTAGTGATAGAATTACCCAGGTTAGCTCTATGTTGGCTTTCCCCATTTAGGTAACAAAGTGAACCCTTTTCTTCTTTGCTCCCCATTTTTTCAGGTTGTGAGAATACTGCTTTTGTATTTCTCTGTCTCTACCTGTGCAACAGTGCTTATGTCATGTTAAACCTTTAACATGAAACTTTAAAACGAACCTGAGGAACAGCCTGTTCCTCATCTGAAATGACAACAGATCTGAAATAAAACAATAAAAAAAACACCCTTTTCCCTGGCCAAGGAAAGTTGTGATACATATGTCTTTTAAACTCTTGTAGTTGAGAAAATGGCAAAGCTTTGGACAGCTCGTTCTGCTTTGTAGTGCTAGCCTGTCTCCCTGGAGATGGGCACAAGGAGAGAGTTTCTAACTTGTGAAGATAGCGTGTGGGCTGTTTATTGCATGCAGTAGTAGTCTGTCATGTGTAAAACTCTGGTGAAGGCAAAGCAGGTGCAGTAGTTTTAGCAGAAAACTGGTGGTTAGTATACCTCAGCTGTTATTTTTCTTTTACCTTTGACTTATTTTTGGTGATTTAGGGGTAGAATCCCTTCACCACCAGCTACAGAAAGGCAGGGCTTCCCAAATTCTCAGTGGTCTCTCAGGCAAGTGCAGGACTTTGGGGAACCTGCTTGTAATTGTGGAAGTAGTATTCCCTGTAGTAACTCAGACGAGCAGAGCTGCGTGAGGAGTTTCTGATAAACCTTGACAGTTAAGTTCATTTGGTCCTCTGAGAACTATATTGAACGATGACTGATTTCATTTCATCATTCCTTGACTTCAGTAATTGTATACCTCTAAACTTCTATGAAGACGGGAGATAAAATATTTCTCACTTTGGCTAATGTAGTTTATTTAGCAATAATCCTAAAAAATGGTATGAGGAGAATTGCCCCTGATGCCTTGTGCATTTTTAACAACCTACACCTGGATTGGAAGATGTGATAATTAATTGTTTTTAACTTTTTAAAAAAAAAATTGATGTACTAATCTAAGATTTTATTCTACAATGCTAACAGTAATTGCAACCTGTGTGCTCTCTAGGTTGAACTATAATGACTGGGTTAAGCAATATGAAACACTAGCAGAGATGGTTGTACCACGTTCCAGCAAGTAAGTTGTCAGATGTTAGATCTCACATTTGCTTTTGTTACATTTTTTTGATCTTCATCTGTATTGACTTTAAATTCTAAAGATTAGTCTAAAGCTTGTCAAAATGTCTAGCTTTATAGTTTTATCTGAGTCAATCAAGCTTGATTATGTTGTTGTGTGCTAACAAAGGCCCTGGGTACCAGACTGGTGCTGATGTTTATGATGGGGAAGAGGAATGCCAGGATTTGATTAACAGGGTGAAGCCACTTTAGCAACTTTGTTACCACATCAAAAATAAAGTCAACATGTAGCATAAAGCATTGATGTGGTGTTAATTTAAATTGACAGTTGGGTTTTGATAGGGTAGATCTGATACTACCAACTCTATGCCACTTATAAAATCTGAGCTTGCTCTGCCTTACGTCACATTTTAGTTGGATCAACTTCAACCTAGATCTGCTAATGATTCTGATTTACTTACTGGGGAAACTGTCACATAGGGATGGGTAAAGAAGAGGTGACTTGTTCAATACAAGTGTTATAAAACAGTTTGAGAAAAAATACGGCATTGAGGAACAGTCTAAATCTGTTCAAGGCTTTTTCCTCAAGGTGAACTCTCAGAATAAGCATTATATTGAAGTATCTTCTTTAAAGTATAAGTAACACTTTCTAATCAACTTCTGTTGTCTTAGAGTTCTTCTGTTTTTCAAATCCATTTCCTTTTTCTTTAGAATATACATTGCCAGTAATTTTGTAGTCTAAATTTTTTGGTACTAAACTAACTTCAATTCCCTTTCCAGTAAAATAATATTAACTTGACCAAATACATAGGCATGTATGAAGCTCTTCTGAGTGGCATTGTCTGAACATGAAATGTAAAGTGTCACTCTTTACTGAGGGAGTAATTAAGAGTGGTTGCTAAAGCTTCAGTTACTTTCTGTAGAGAGTGTTTAATTTGTGAAGCAATCCCATGTGATTATCTGCATCTATGTTCCTGCCTTAGTAGCAATAAAGTACAACTTAACCTATTGTATTTCAGATCTGTAGTGACTTGAACCTTAATAATTCTGACTTTTTTTCTGTGTAGTGTACTTTTTGAGGATCAAGATAGTTACCTTTGCAATGTCACCTTATTCAGGAAGGCAGTGGATGACTTCAAGCATAAAGCAAGAGAATATAAGTAAGGCTTATTTTGTATGTTCCCTCTTGTGCTGTGAAGCATCTCTAGATAGCCACTTCTGATCTTTATTCACTTCCAAATGCAGATTTATGGTCCGTGACTTCCAGTATAATGAAGAAGAGATGAAGGCTGATAAAGAAGAAATGAATAGGCTGTCAACTGACAAGAAGAAACAGTTTGTAAGTTGTATAAACTAGTCATTATAGAAACCTGAGATGTCTCAGACGTGTTAATGCTGCATAATGACTTCATGAGCTTGTGATTCTGAGAACATATTGCAGGGATGACATGACACATAGTCAGCCTGCAGCCCAGCTAATCTGCTCAGGGATAGCTGAGTTGCTCTTAACTGTGTTGAACCAAGTGCTGGGATTGCAGCTGATAGTATGTGACGTTTGAAAATGGACAAACATTTGAATGAAATAATCAGATATTGTTGAAATGGTCCTTAATATAGTTAGCCCATGGACAGGTGGGCTGGGGTACTGAAGAGACAACAGAGTTCTTGTGAAATTAATCTTGACTTTGTAGAAAACTACCCTTAATCCATTATATCAATAGTGTGAACTCTGCCTTTAAGTTATCTTTATATTATGATATAAATAATGAGTATTTGCTTAAACATGCCTAACTGTCTGATTCTTCTTCATAAGATTTTTTTCTCTTTCACAGGGGCCTCTGGTTCGGTGGCTGAAAGTTAATTTCAGTGAAGCTTTCATTGCATGGATTCATGTGAAAGCACTACGAGTTTTTGTTGAATCTGTTCTAAGGTAATGAGACAAACCTGAGTAGTAAATTCTTGCAAAGTTTAGGAATGGAAAAAGCACATCTAGCTCAGCTTTAGTAGCCTGAGGTTTGTGAATGCCAGCCTTCCAGGAAGGACTAAACAAAGGCGAAGGGTAGGATGCAAGAATAGTTGATGACATAGCTCTTGCTTCCAGTTATGGAACATCTGAAGTAGATAATAGCGTGTTGTTCACCCAGTGCTTGATAAAAGTTGTAGGTGCTCTGCTATTATCTGTTTTTTCAGAGTGGAAAGGACTCGGTCGAAAACTGAAGGATTTTTTTAGTTAGTTTTGATAAGAGCTGCTAAAAAAAAAAAACAATCGGAGGAGGAAAAATGCATATTAACTTGCAATCAAGTCTGTTTTTCATAGCCATTACAGGCAGGTTTTGAAGACAAACTCGAGTAAAGAAGACAGTTGGACTTAGTTTGAATATTGGCAAATGTTTCCACATATCTAAAAAGGAGGGTGGAATAGAGACTAGATTCTCCACCTAGTGGCATAAGCAAAGCCTTGCAAGTAGATTAATGGGAATGTTCAAAATTTAGTCCAGACTTCAGGTGTAACTTTTTTGAGTTGTGCTAAGTATTCAGGGTTTTTAAAGGCATTTAGACATCTGTACTGTTATTTTAAACTTGAAGACAAGTTCCACTTTACATCTTAATTATGAACTGTAGGAGAAGAATGATTTTATGAAAATGAGTAGACTTTCCTCATAAGCAATAGGATTCTTTCCCGAAGTAAAGTAAAACTCTGCTTTGAAATGGTAAAAGAAGGTTTATTTCAGCATTTTCACAGTTATCTGATTAACTTTTTCAGGTATGGTTTGCCGGTTAACTTCCAGGCCATGCTGCTTCAGCCTAATAAGAAAACAATGAAGAAACTGAGGGAGGTTTTGTATGACTTATACAAACACCTTGACAGCAGTGCAGCAGCCATCATTGATGTAAGTATTTTTGTAACTGCTACTCTCATGCAGTGTTAGGTTTGTTCTGTCTAAACAAAAGTTTACTAGCCTTACTGAAAAGCTACATCTCTCCATATTTTTCATAGTTCTCTCGCAGTACAGAAAACTGTCTCCTTATAAAAATAACACCTCTACCTTAACATTTTTGTAAAGGAAGATAGTATTTAAAGTTGCAACTAATGCGTTTGAAAGTGCTGTCTAATGTAAAAGTCTCAATTCACTTCTTCTTACTGCGTTCTTCCCTACTACCAATGGAAGGATGCCTTATAGGCTGGATACATGTTCACATTCTCAAAGAATTCAAATAAAGTAAACTTTGATCTGAAACTAGGCTTAAGGAACTTGAAGTCATCCTTTCTGCCTGTAGAGGTGTCTTGTTATCACGTTTAAAGCTGGTTTCTGGGAGGTTTATTCTACCACCATCATCTTGTATTGGAAAGCCGTGCTTTTCATAGTTAAATAAGTAAAGGTAGACTACATGATAAGTTTAGCTATATTTTTAAAAATTTAAATGATCATTCTTAAAGTTATATTTATTGTAATGTTTTTTTTTTTTTTCCAAAGTATTTTGAGGACTTTTTGGTGGAGTGGGAATGTAAGACAAGGTGAAAATGGGATGCTAAGTTTCATGTAACTTCTTGGATCACTCAGTACCCTATAACAGGCTGTTTAACAGTAGTGAAACATAATTGCAGTCCTTTGCTTTCCATTTAGTGGCAGTGTTTACTATAGCAACAGATGTGAATTATGGATACAAAGCTACTTAGTTTCTGTAAAAGCACTTGTTTCATTTTGAAAAATAGGTTAATATTTGTCCAAGTTCTAACTTGTTGTATGTTGCTTAAACAGTCACTTGAACATGGAAGTTTAAGCTTGAAGTCTTGCCCGTCCTATTTGTTTCTCAAACATATGAATGCTTTAATCTACTTCTGAATAGAAATCTGAGTTGTAAGAGTGTAACTGGCTTCCAAACTTTACTTGCAGGCAACTATGGATATTCCAGGCTTAAACCTCAGCCAGCAGGAGTACTACCCATACGTGTACTACAAGATCGATTGCAATTTACTGGAATTCAAGTAAAAGTTCCCTAACATGACAATCCTCTGTATTGGTGTAAACAAACTGAAGTGAGGGTGAAGTACAGTAATACCTTTAACACTCTACTAATCACATGCTTGCTTCATATGTTAGGTGAATTTTACCCACAGTGGTCCATCTCCAGACATTTTCTTTTTAAAGGAAAGTGTAGGCAATCTGCTTTTAACAATTATGTCTGTAAATGTATATTGAGAGAACTGAAGTATTTATAAACAGAGCGATTTATTTAAGGAAAAGGTCATTCCTCTTTCATATGGTGATCTGTATTAATTCCATTTCCCATTGTTTATTAAAAAAAATTGTTTACAGAAGAATAGTGTAAATGTTTATGGCCATTCTGTTTGATTTAGTAAATACACTTGTGTTAACATTGTTGAACTGTGATGTAAAGTATGTAAGATTGGTAAGAAATTGTGCTTTTTGAATGTTGTACAATTACAATCGAAGCACTGTAAACACACAGGGAAAAAATAAACATACCTGTGCAAATGTCTCCCTTTCTTGTGCAGCATCTAACTACAGGTGTCTGTGTCTAAACTGAAGCAATATATTAAGTCCTAAAACCCGTGCTGCATCCTGTGTGCAGTGGTGCAAAATTGCCATTGACTTCAACACAACTTAAAGAGTTGCAGGTATTTCTCTTGCTTTGTGCAGAAATACTCCGGCCACCAGATCTGCATGTGGATGTTTTTTACACTGATATCTTCATGACCTTAAGGAAAAGACTTGAGATAATTATTAGAAGATGACTGTAAGGTGGGATGCTAACAAGCTGGGATGATAGGGAATCTTTTTGATAATTCTTTGCTCTTTTCATTCAGTTGCAGCCTGGGACTTCGAATTACTACATTTCTCCTTTGCTTCTCTGTGTGTGTGTGGTGTGTGTGGGGCATCCTTTCCTATCCTTACAAAGCAAATGACAGCTACCATTGAATGTAGATAGAGAGGTTGTTTATTCCCGTTCCAATTATCACACCCATTGCAAATACACTATATATTCTAGCTGCTAAATATGTAAAGAAAAAAAAAACCACACCTCCAATACCCTTTAAAACTAACTTGAATTAAGACTGAGATTGTAAGTGCTGGATTTTTTTCTAATTTCGTCAGAAGCAGGTTTGAGGAGTTTATCTTTAAGCCCACAGAGAATCTCTGATTACCAAAAGGAAAGGCTAGCTTTTGAATGCAAGAGTTGCATCTAGCTGCTGCTAATGAACTGGGAGAACTGGGATTCTGAAGTCTCTACAAAAAAAATCTCTTAATCATATCTGCTTTTATTTTTACATATGGTCATTTGTACAGCTAAAATGGAAAAACTTAACATCAAGTAGTCAGTTGTGCTTCTACTCCCATGCTCTCTCCCTTCCTTTACAGAAGGTAACAGCTGTTCACTGCCTTGACCAGGTTTTTAAAGTGTGTGAGCAAATTTAAGGTTTTCCCTTTTTCAGTCAGATCCTCCCCTGTATAGATAAATATTTGAATATCGGCTGTTATAATTATTGTATATGTGGTTGTCTTGGGTCTGAGCTCACTGTACCTGTGTAATGAACTACTTAGGGCAAAGTTCCATTTCCCTCCCCCAGAAACAGCATTTAATCCTGTTTTGGTGATCACAGAAGACTAAACAGATCACAGGCTAAACAGTTCTCTCTGTTCTTCGTTTTAGTTCTTTTTGATTGTGTTTTCAAAACACTTCTACAAGCAAGAGCAAGGAAGCAGCGCAGAAACAGCTTTCCTGTACTCCTTGACCTGTTCAAGGTAGCTAGTGCCTGCTGAAGCAGCACTGGAGTCTTCTGAAATGAAAAAGTCCTTGAGGCAGGAAGCAAGAGGCAGCTGGACAATAGAAAAAGAAACCCACCTTCTCCTTTTTATCTCAGGCTCGACTTCACTCCTTCATTCCTCACTCTTCTACTTCTGTTGCCTGTCCCAGCAGCGCAGGGTGGATGGGGAATAAGGGGTTACAATTGGGTTGTAACAGAATTCCTGGTTGCAAGGAGGGGAAGACAATGATGACAAGCCATGGAGTAACAGAGGTGTCTGATGCTGTTGGGCTTTCCTAGTGGTGAGGAAAGGTAGTTTGGGTACAGGAGTGGGAGTTAGCCTGTGTTAGTTCTAATTTATACTAAAATGCTACAATAAAAACCTCTTTGTGCAGTTTTAGTACATTTCTGCAGTTCTTAAAGGAGTTCTGGCAAGTGGAACGGGGTTTAAACTGCATAGAAATGGAAAGTTTGCATTCCATCTCCGAGAAGTATGCCAAGTGATTAGAATTAACGTAAAAAGGAATTTGTGGAAGAAATGAAGAGCATACTCTTCTCCAGAATGTGAGGAGTATGGAAATTTTACTATAGTATGCAATGACAGGTGATTTATGTCCTAATAGGAAAAGCAGGCATAAGTGGATTTTCACGATTTACACGGCTGTAAATAGTTGAAATTGGAGAGAAGGGGAAACAGCTGCTGCACAGCAGAAGTGTCTAAAATAGCAATGTATTGATATTTTAGTGAGTTTAACATGTCTTGAAGTGCTGGTGGTTACTAAAAATTCACAAATAAAACATAATAATGAAAGTGTATCAGAAAACCTTCTATGAGTTCCAGGGTCACCAGGACTGGGGATGAGGAGGAGCAGAGAACTGGGCAGAAGAATTGTGGATGTCCAGCAGGGAAGTGACAGTGAGACAGACTGAAACGAGGTGAGGTGACAGGCTCCAAGTGTTGTGATCAACGGCACGAAGACCCAGAGGTCAGTTACTGCTGGTGGCGTGCCCAGGGGTCAGGGCTGACAGGACCCTTGTGAAACTCAACAGAGGGAAGTTCGAAGTCCTGCACCTGGGGAGGAATAACCAGGAGGCTGGTGGCCAACCAGCTGGGACGCAGTGCTGCAAGGTAGGGCCCTGGGCATCCTGGGGGAAAGGAAGGTGAATGTGAGGCAGCAACGTGCCCTTGCAGGGAGAGACTGAAGGTAATTCAAGGTAAAAGGATACTGCAGCATCACCCTAAGAGTTAAAGAGGAGTGGGAAGGGAAAGGGAGTTCTGTACAAAACGGCCATGGCTCACAGGCAGGGAGAAGAATGTCTTGTTCCTCTGTGCATTATAAAACCAAACATTAAATGGGCATAAAAGAAGATTTTGTATCAGGTATAGGGTGACATACACCTGATACAAAAGCAACATGGTGACATACTGAATTACTGTTGGCTTTTATTATTATTATTAAATATGTTTTAATTGTTGCTGTAGTTTTTTCTTGGCCAGAAACGTGTGTGAGTGCTCCTGTTCTAGTCAAGAACTTGCTTCTGGGGCTGCTTCTGTTTTATGGTCTGCAGCTGTTACAGCAAACCAGAGTGGCCAGCAGAGGTGAGGTCTTTGGACTGGTTCTTCTTTTCAATAGAGTGGCATTTTGAAACACCCTGCTTTTAAACCTCTGCGTTAGTTTAAGTTTCATAAAGATATTAATGATTTTTAAAAATTTCTGAAAGATAAATGCATCTCTGTCCTGCTTAATTATTAGATACAGAAGAACATTGCCCACGGTGACTGGCTCTTGAGCATAAGTGTTTAGAAGGTAACTTCATATGAATTTGGTTGTTTTGGTTTTGGTAGAATTCACACGGCAGAAGGGCTATTTGACTTCTGCTGATCTCTTGTGGCATCAGAGGCAGTGTTCTTCCACCTGCCTTAGGTTTGATTCTTAGAGTGAAAGACTTTAACATTTGCCAGCAGCTTAGTATTAGATAGACACGATGTAGTTTATCTTACACTGACTTACATATCTTTATGGGCACAATACGTGAGACAAGTCATGAGCAAATGGCAACACTCTACTTGGTGGGATGGGATCCTTTTAGCGTTGTGTTCATACAAACAGATGAACTCCTGCATCTTCTGTACTATGCCACACACTGGAAGAATCACTAGAGAGTAAATCATGACTCCTCAATCTTGCAAATGTCAAGTTTTTTTTTTGTTTGTTTGTTTTTTTAAATATTACTAAGAAGTTCTCATTTGGAACAGTCAGGAAAAACACACGTGTAATATTTGGATTCCTGCTAGTGCAACTTCATCGAACTTTATTGTGCCAGTGGAGATTTAGGTTGGACATGAGGAAGGATTTCTTCACTGAGAGGGTGGTCGAGCATTGGAACGGGCTGCCCAGGGAAGCAGTGGTGTCCCCATCCCTGGAGGTGCTTAAGAGACGCGTGGACATGGGACTAGGAGACATGGTTTAGTGGTGGGACACAGCAGCTCGGGTTGATGATTGGACTTGCTGGTCTCACAGGTCTTTTTCAACCTAGATGATTCTATTCTATGAATTTAACATGAGTTTCCGGAGGTTCATTTGAGCCTGTAAGAAGACTTTTGCAACATTGTATTTCCCTGAGACTTTTGGGCTAGTAGGTACAATTTCTTTAAATCCACTGAGAAGAGAGGCTGTGAGGAAACAGGGAGAGGGCACACCTGTTGTGTATGAGGAAAACTACAGGGAAAGTTAAATTAAGTAAAAGTAGATGGTTCAAAGCCAGCTTTGAATAGCAAATGCTGTTTGGCAATGCTGTATTTTCATGTTAGAGTTACAAAAAAGAAAAGTGTTGTAGGTCTGTTCACTATTTATTGGCCTGAGTATGGTTCTTCTAAAAAAAAAAAAGTCTTTTTGCCTTTTGTATTCTGGAGGCTCATTAAGAACTTCTAACATCCTGTATGTCCTGTGTGTGTGCTCTTTAATGAATTCTTAAAGAAAGGAAATCTTCATTTTTCACCTCTAGAGAGCAATCTCGAGCTGCTTCCGAAGAGCAGCCAGGGTGAAACTCTCAGCTTTTGCTGAGTGATTAAGGTTTGAGCTAAAGAGATCTTTTAATGATTTCATCTCGTGGTCTCATAATGCCAAGGAAATTTTTAATATTGTACATAACTCTGAAGCTTTTTTTTTGCCACGTTCTCCAGAGATTAACATGCTGCTCCACACATAATCAAATACTCACTGATGAGCTGGAAGAGAACATCCTGACAGCAAACCAGGATTCTGGCAGACTCAGAATTGCTACCTAGAAATTTATATTTCTCATTCCAGGTACAGTATGGGATTCCAGTATTTTAGAAGTGGGTTTGTTGACTACACCATTTACTCTTTCAATTGATTTTACCTAATATTAAATGCAGGGAATGTTAGGAATTGTGCTTTTTTTTTTCATCAATGCAGAAGTCATCAACTTTCAAACTTCTGGACCACCTCTTTTTCAACATGCAGCCCTGCTTCACACCCACAGGCCACACAGGGAAATGACAGAATGGCCCTGCAGAAGGAGACTGTAAAGCATCATTGCAGAACTTTTCACCTTCTTTTGAAATGGATTTCTGACTTTTTTTTTTTTTTTTTGATGTGGGAAAATATTCTGTAGTTCCTGAACTATCAAGTTTTCCTTCCACAACAAACTTAGATTTTAAGTTAAATACTCCAAATTGAAGGTTTGATAAATTCTTTAACAGAGCCTG